TTGTACAGAGCACAAATATGCCCAGAACATTTCTGATCTTCTGCTAACCTATTCAGAAAACAGCGCAATCCATCTACCCCTTCCATGGTCTCCATAGACAGGAATTAATATTAATGGCTCAAGAAATTTCAGATCATATGTTCAGTTAATTTTGTTAACTTATCATATTATTGATTCATTTGTTATGCTAATTTCTAGTACTTTTGCAATATCTTTGTCCTTTCAAACTACTTCTCGTGAAAATGTTTGGTTACTGTTTCTTCTGTCACAGAGCTGTAGCATGGTCACTAAGGCTGTGTCTAGACTGCAGGGTTTTTTCGAAAAAACTTTACCTGAGTCTAGACTACAGCCGTGTTCTTTCAAAATTAAATTGGAAGAAGGCAGCTTTTCTTTCGACGGCGGTACTCCTCATTTCATGAGGAAGAACGCCTTTTTTCGAAAGTGCTCTTTTGAAAAAAGGCGTTCTTGAATGCAAACAGAGCTTTTTCGAAAGAGAGCATCCAGACTGCTTGGGTGCTCTCTTTCGAAAAAGCGGCTCACTTTTTCGAAAGAAGAGGTTGCAGTCTAGATGCCCTTTTTCGAAAGAAGCTTTTTTGAAAGTATCTTTCGAAAAAGCCTCTTTTGAAAGAGGCTTGCAGTCTAGACATAGCCTAAGACTATTACAATATTTTGCCTTGCTGTAGTACCCAACAAATTCTGTGCAATAGAGAGTTTAGCCTCATGTGCAGTGACAACCAGGACAAAGTAACACTCACAATGCTTTAGTGGTGAATTTCTAAAATTGGGCAGCAATTACTAAGTCCAATCTTTGTGATATGTTCCATGTTTTCTGCAGGCTTCTGAATCTCATTCTTACAAATTGAAAGATCTTTTTAATGAAAGAGTTACTTGGATTTGATTTCCTTCTTTTAATGAGACTCATTACACCCAAATTGGGTATTGCCATATGGCATCAGCAAATGTCAACAGTGGGGAATCCACTGTTACTTGAAAGATGTTTATCTATCAGTACATCAATTAACCTTAATTAAATCAATATCAGATCTTTGGAACCATAGCTTTGCCAGTCAAGTATCCCCAGCTGGCTGGCCACGTCTTTATCAATTGACCGATTACTGGCATCCCAGTGATACATGATGAACCATGAGCAAGGATACAGTCAGGGGTGCTCTAACATCTGTCAGGGATGATCTAGATGGTGCTTGGTCATGCTGTGAGCACAGGGAACAGGACTTGATGAGCTCTCAAAAGCACTTTCAGTTCTAGTACTCTGTGGTTCTATGAATTTGTACAGTGACCGAGTGTGTCTAGACTACATCCCTCTTTCGACAGAGGGATGTACATTAGGCACTTTAAAATTGCAAATGAAGATGGGCTTTGAATTTCCTGCACTTCATTTGCATAATTGCATCATGGCGCTCTTTCAAAAAAGTGCTATTTAGAAAGTAAAACTGCAGTCTAGACGCGGTTCTTTCAAAATGGGAAAGCTTTTTCGAAAGATCCTGTAAACCTCCCAGCTGGCCTTGAGAGCACAACAATTTTTTGCTCAACAATTTTGCCATCTGGCAAACCTAGTACTGGCACTCTTTTTTTTTTTTTTTTTAAACAAAAAAAGCACTGGTTATCTATATTAGAATGCTTTGATTAAAGTTAATTTAATCTGCAATAATCTGTTTTGAAATACTCATTAACACACATTTTATAATATAAATGTCCATAGGTTAGGATGAAAGCTTAAACTTTTTTTTGTAAAGTACTCTTGAAGTTGTACAAATGCCAAAAAAGCATTAGAACAGTAGGAATCATTATTTTCATTTGCTTTTGGACTCAACTTAAAAATGGCCAATTTCCTTTTAATGTCATCCAGTATTGGACCTTAAAATACAAGGCTCATGTCTTTGACTGAATTGTGAACTTTTAGAATTACAGAAATAATGGAAATACTAACATATCTTCCACTGCAGAATGCTTAGCAAATATTACTCTACTGATATATAAAATACCAAGGTGTAACATGATCTATGCAAAAGCTTCAGAGGGGTAGCTGAGTTAATCTTTAACTGGAAAAATGGGAAAAACAAAAATAATCTAGTAGCACCTTACTGACTAACAAAACATATAGAGGGTATCAATTTAGTATTGAGGAGAATAGCAGGCATAATCAGTCGTTCCTGCTTTTTTTCTAGTTTTCAGGTTGTAGAAATGCTGTAGGAAGATCAACTATATGTATATGTCAGAAAGTTCTTTACAGCAATAAGCTGGCATAGAACAAGAGATCTGTATTTCTTTTTAAAGTTTTCTAACTAAACTTAGCATTCATGAAAACTGAAGAACTGAGAGACACATTCTTTTAGCTATAGCCTATATAGTGGGTACATTTCTTTGTTCTCTTGATCATGTCTTATGAATGTGGTATACCTAGACTTTAAAAAGACATTTGATACAGTCTCACATGACCTTCTTATCAATAAACTAGGCAAATACAACTTAGATGGAACTATTATAAACTGGCTGGATAACCATTCTCTGAGAGTAGTTATGAATGGTTCACAGTCATGTTGGAAAAGCATAACAAGTGGGGCTCAGCAGAGGTCTATTTTGGAACTAGTTCTGTTCAATATCTTCATTCATGATTTAGATGATGGCATAGAGAGTATGCTTATAAAGTTTTCAGGTGATAACAAGCTGTGAGGGTTTGCAAGTGCTTTGGAGGATAGAGTCATAATCAAAATGATATGGACAAACTGGAGAAATGGTCTGAGGTAAATAAGATGAAGTTTAATAAGGACAAATGCAAAGAACTCCACTTAGGAAGGAACAATCCATTTCAGACATATGGAAATGGGAAGTGACTGTCTAGGAAGGAGTACTGCAGAAAAGGATCTAGGTGTCATAATGGACCACAAACTAAATATGAGTCAACAGTGTGACACTGTTGCAAAAAAAGCAAATATGATTCTGGGATGCATTAACAGGAGTTTTGTGAGCAAGACACGAGAAGTCATTCTTCCGCTCTACTCTGTGCTGATTAGACTTTAATTGGACTATTGTATTCAGTTCTGGGCACCACAAAATGATTAAAGGCCTAGAAAACATGAGCTATGAGGCAAGGTTGAAGAAACTGGGCTTGTTTAGTTTGGAAAAGAGAAGACTGAGAGGGGACATAATAGCAGTTCTCAGGTATCTAAAAGGGTGTCACGGGGGTGGAGGGGAATTGTTCTCCTTGGCCTTTGCTATAGGACAAAAAGCAGTGGGCTTAAACTGCAGTAAGGGAGGCTAAACACTGGAATAAATTGCCTAGGGAAGTTGTAGAATCTCCATCACTGGAAATATTTAAGAGCGGGTTAGACAGACATCTATCAGGGATGATATAGGTTGTGCTTGGTCCTGCGCTAAGGGCAGGGGACTGAACTTGATGATCTCTCAAGGTCCCTTCCAGTTCTAGTAATCTATGATTCTATGTGCCACATACCTGACTTGTAGGGATCATCTCTAGGGAGAGACCAGATGTCTCAGTCTTCTGAGTTCACCAGGGAGATTATTAACTCATTTCATGTTATCAGATCATTAATTTATTTTATAAAATTCCACACATTAGAAGGGTCAATCTCATCTACCACTTCAGTCTCTGAAAGATCTTCTCAAAATGCTAAAAGCCAATCATAATAAAATATGAAGAAAACAGTTTCAAAAATATCAAATTAAAAATCAGAAAATAAGAGAATACCACAGAACACTAAGATAGTCAATTACATTTAGTCATTGCTAACCTAGACCAGATTTGAACTCAAGTCATAAATGTCTCTATATTTTAATTCCAACAGATACCAAGTTGCCATTTATCCTGGTAAGTATAGAAGTTGAAATCCCCCTAGCCCATTATTGGTCTCAAACTATGTAAAATATCCTGAGTTGACTTGAAATAGCTAAAAGGAAGAAAGCCATCCTAGCTTTTTTTCTGTCTGAAGGACGGTGAGCATGTCCCATGAGACAAGCAGATAATTTATAGTTAAACATTTTCCTTGATCTGTAGATGACTTTTTTTTTCTATTTCAAATTAATTTGACTGAGCGTGAACAAAGGGGGAAGCCAAAAGGGGACATTTTTTTTCTCTAGGCAGCCAGCCTGGAAACACAGTGGTAGAGACTTAATTTTTTTTATTCTTGAGTGAGCTACTACTGACTCAAAATTAAGGGTGAGCTATATGGAGTTTGCAACGTTTAAGTAGTTCAAGCAAGAGGTAGAGGGCATCCTCACCTCTCACAGTGTGAACCAACATGTAGGAGATGTACAAATGCATTGAACCTTTTACTCTTCCTCTATTTATATAGAAACAAACACATTTCATTCGTCTTTCATTATCTCCCGAATGTTCATCACATTTATGCCATCTTGTCAGCAATTCATGGCCATATAAGGCATCTTGGTATGGATATAAATATAATTACAGAACTAAGCATCACCATTCCCCTCATTTCTGATAAGGATCAGACGTATGCCCGGTATGATCATTACTCTTTGTTGCACATCAGGAGGGTCCCCATTTTAAAATCATCTTCACAAGTGCCTGGAAAGCTTTTCTTCCAGTTTTGGTCGGGTTCCTATGAAACATTGTAATTTGATAGACCCCTTTCCCCACCCAGGGCTTTAGGCTGAACTATTGTTTTTCATAGCTCCAAAATTCAAAGTGTGTGACTGCTGCTCCTTCCTTAATCGATGCCTGAATAAAAATAAAATGACACAAAAGTGGAAGAGTAACTAATTCTAGCTTTGTTTAACTGACAACTAACCATATTTTTGTCCTCAATTTCCTTTGAAGATTTTATGAAAGGTTGAAGATCAGAAGGGCTTCCTCAAAACAGTCTCATCTTTTCTAGGAAACACATATGGTAGGATTACTTGTGAAAAAGTGGTCCTACTCTTGCTTTTTTAACTAGAGTTAATTAATTGCCAGTTAACTCAAGTTAGGTGACACATTGGTAAATACTAATTAAACATACCTCAAATATTTGTTTTAGGGCACAAATACTTGTTGTTTGCCTTAGGGCTCAACCTGGGATAAATAAACATCAGTGACCTGAAACACAAGTTTATAGAGGGTTAAAATGGCATTTTACAGTCATGTGTTAACTGGAGTTAACTGACAATCAGTCAACTTTTGATAAAACAGAAACAAATTCTCCCATCTGGACATGCCCATAGAGATAACTAGACCTGAAGAAGAGCTTTGCAGGGTCTCTCTCACTGACTGAAGGTGGTCCAATAAAGGATATCACCTCTCCCATCTTGTCTCTCTAATACCCATAGTCAGTCTACTCTATAAAGTAATGTTTATCCACCCTGCCAAGGCTCCTTCCCCACTCTGGCACGATAAATTCAGAAGTGGGGCCCCACAAAAGTACCACAAAACCTTATCTTTCTAGGCTTTGGTATAAAACTTCCCCCCAAAATCTTAAAAAACCTAGATTTTGGAGATTAAATCTGCTGCCACCACCATAATAATGATAAGAAAATCAGGGGAGAGATCACTTGGGAAATCTCACCTCTAAAGTAAAAACCGGGACACAAAAGTTAACCCATACCAGGTTAATAAAAGAAAAGAGAAGGAACTTTTATTATCACCACAATATTTTTGTTGCAAGCATAATGACCAGATGGAAAAATCACAAATTAATATACTCATGGGGAAAACTCTACCATGGGCCGAGACTTAATTACAAAAGAGAGAAAAACCCATTTTTAAAAATGCACAGATATCAGGGCCCATTTCCCAAACCACAAAACAATAAATCCTAACGGATTTATCTAAACTTTACCCTACTTACCGATAGTGAAGGGGCTATTCTTGGAGGGAGTCATTCTGTCTCCCTCAGTAGCTGGAGAGAAAACTCCCTAGAGACAAAGGAGAGAAAAACCCCAACATTCCTTTGGCTCAGTTTGAAATTCCTGCCTACATTCCTATTGGCTGACTCTAACTGGTTTAGGTAAGGGACATAGTTAACCCCTTAATCTCCAGGCTGCTGGCTAATCCTCATTGTCATGACACCCCCAAAATAGGATAATACTCCACTTTAGTGTAACAGATAAATGTATACATCTTCAGCTTTTTAAGAATATATACTGTAGATATTTTATACTGAAAATTTTAAATAGCTCTTTTGTTGCCAAGCAAAAACTGCTACTGTTATGTCATGGAAAACTATCTGTTTAAAACCTTTACTATTGATGTATTATACATTTTGCAGGGTGGATTTTAGTTACTGAGGTTATCTGTCGCTTTCATTTCAATTCAAAAGTAGAGCAACTGTAGCAATGGTTTAGTATGTTTGAGGAGGCAATTCATTAAAACCCCATGTTTCCAGAGGTTTATAACTTTAAATAGATTATCTACTCACACAGTTATTAACTGCTCACAGATAACACTTTGGAACAACCTGATATCATAGGATTTGACTGATTATGATTTACAGGTGTGATAATATGTTGTTTTGCCTTTTTTCTTAAAACACATTAATAAGTTTGTCACTTCATGGTACTCAGAGAACTCCAACACAGTTCATTTTTTTGACATCCAACTCATTATGATCTCATTCCCAAGGAAAACAAGTGTCTCTGATATGTATGAGACACTTTGTTTAGCAATGGCAAGATTATAAAGTTTGAATATCAAGGTGTAAAACTACAAAAGTATCTACAATATAGATGAAGTCTGACATAGTGAAATAAATGTACCTACATTTACATAACAGATTATATGATTCATTTACAATATTTTAAAGGTGTGATCTTACATATATACAAGATCATTCAAATTAATGTTCACAAACAGAAGATGACAAGATTAACTGACAGAATCTCTACCAAATTGAAGAAAAGAGCTAGAGGGGAAGTTTAATAAAAAAATAAGAGATTCAGCTTTAAAACTCTATAATGGTCACCAGGGAAATATGGGCACAGAAATATCAAGCCAGATGTGGCTTGGAGCATAAAGTAATCAAATAAAATTCAGTTATATAAACATAATATACACAGAATACAACTTATGTTATAGTTGCTGTATTTTACTTGCTTTTTGTCATGATAGATAGATAGATAGATAGATAGATAGATAGATAGATAGATAGATAGATAGATTCTTACTCTGAGTAACTTACAAAACCACTGTGGTCTTTACTTGGGGATCATTCCTAATTTTTCCTGCAATATTTGTAATATGTGCAAAACCTCCATCTGGAAATGCTGAACTTAAACTCACATGAGGCTCAAAGACTAGGCTAAGTCTGGTCCCAAAGCAGAACTAGCATCCATCTTAGTAGATATTTAGAAATAACTTGGATATGGTAGTAAATTTAGGGGAAGGGCTAGTAGAGGGAAGAGGATTGTATGATATTTAATGTGTCTGATCCATCAGGCATGTGAAGAGAAGTGAATAGACAGCACGGGAGGGTGATAATCTACAAATAGGTACAGGACAACTATAGCATACATTCCCCTGTTTTCTGCCTTAACCATGATCCGGATGAATGACATTGGTATAATAAAGAAGTTCAATCTTTGTGTCTATTGTCCCATTTGCTGAGACTACTAATTTCTGACCATGGTGGTGTTGGTTTGTGCAAAATAAATTCTTATATCCATTTTTATTAGAGGTTTAAGTTTTACTGTTTGTGTGGCAGACAGCCCCAGTTCTACCATATAGGATCTCTTACCATGATCCGGATGAATGACATTGGTATAATAAAGAAGTTCAATCTTTGTGTCTATTGTCCCATTTGCTGAGACTACTAATTTCTGACCATGGTGGTGTTGGTTTGTGCAAAATAAATTCTTATATCCATTTTTATTAGAGGTTTAAGTTTTACTGTTTGTGTGGCAGACAGCCCCAGTTCTACCATATAGGATCTCTTACAAAAAAAAAGAAAATTATGTTGAAGAAGAGATATTATGAACCCCAAACAGAGTATACAGATTCCAAAACAGAGGACAGAAACAGAAACTTAGTCTACACACTCCCAAACTCTGGAAATTTTGCCATATTGACCTCGAGACTTGGATTTGAATTTGTTGATTAAGATTTACCTGTAATCCCAAATCTAAATTATGGATGTTGAAGTTAGGAACTTGGAACTAAGCACAGATTGAAGTTTTGTGGCTTATAGTTAGCTCCAGTCTAAAGGTAACAAATTACTAATTATGTTGTATTTCAGCTATTAATACATCAAAACCAACCATCTTACTTTTCTTCCAGAAGAATATTTGGTTTTTCTTTTACAAAAACCCTTTGAGCCCATCTCTAATATTTAGCAATCAGACTCTCTTGTCAAACGAGACCATCAAATGTACTAATATTGATGCAGAGACAGAGGCCATGGACTAAATTCATGGCCCATTGCGGGTGGCAAAGGGAACAGAACTGTCAATCAAGAAAAAGAAGTAAAGAAGGCATGCAGAGCCAGAAGAGTTTAACCAGAATCAATTGTGGAATTGTGCTCTTACGAAAGCCATTAAGTGATGTCTGAAAGTAGTGGGAAAACAAAGCACAGGTTTTGTTTGCTTGTTTGGTTGGGTTTTGCTGCTCTTTATAGCGTAATAGGATGCCTAAAAGCATGTTATAGTACCTAGAAATGGAATTTAAGGATTCTGCAGTATCTACATTTTGCATAAAGCTTTTGGCTGAAGCTGTGCTTTCTGGCATAACATGCCATTGTTTGATGGCATACTGTGCTTGAACTATCAACACAACATATTTGTTAGTTTTATGCTCCACAAGTTGCTTTGCAATGTGCAGTGGGATAATTAGCATGGAGTTTTGCACTGCCACACTTTTGGCACAGTTATTTATTAGCATCATGGGCTGGCTGGTTCTTTGAGGCAAGCTGGGCTCAGCCTTGCCCATGATTTAGCAGCTATCCCTCAGCCTCTGATGAGCTGGCAATGTGACGGCTAATTAGTGACCCCAGCTGGGCGTAATGGAGCTTAATTAAAAAGACTGATCCGAGCTATGGTGGTGCAGCAGGGAAAGTACTACTTAAATAAGGCTGGGAACTCAAAAGAGGGAGGAAGACCCTGCAGAGAGTAAGAAGGGGGGTTGCTCTCTGGGAAAAGTGTGCGGAAGTCAGGATGAGTCACCCATAAGCAGGAAAGCAGACTCCCTGAGATAAGGCCTAAAAGGAATAGGGAGATCATCAGCGGTTAACTGATGGAGTCTCGATAAAGGGAGGCAGTGCGGAAGTCCTGCTCTGAAAGATTTTTCACTTGCTGGCATGTAGTGAGACTTCTTACAAGGTGCTTGGTTATTTGTTTGGTTTGTAGTGAAAGGACTGGACAAAATGTTTTGGAACCAAAAGAAGAATCTACTGGATTTTCCCTGCACCGATTGCAAAATATTAACATGCTTCTAACATGCAACCAAAAGATGGGCCACTGAGATTGTCAGTTTCCCCATTTGTGATTGCAGAAGAGAATTACTCTAATTGGCGGATATATTTGCAGCACAGACAAGGGTAGGGAGAGAGGGACTGTAGGCCCAGATTCATGAAAGTTTGTTTATTTATTTATTTATTTACGTATTTACTTATTTAGGACATGACTTACATAAGTCTCTGCCCAAGTCCCATTGAAATCGAGAGGATTTAAGCTCAAGCACATGCTTGAAGTTAACTTAAGTCAGTACTCTGTTGAGTGGGGCCTTAAGCTACCAAAAACAGAGCAGGGGCAGCAGGACAAAAGACTTCATTCTAAAGAACTGTTCCACCAAGGTCTACCAAAAAAGGTAGACACACATCTCATAGAGCCATGATCTGTACCTTTCCAAACACTACATGGAGAATGTAATTGATATTTGCTTCTTAACGTGATTTCCTTCCCATCTGCTCCTGAATAACAACTTCTTTGGTCCTGCCACAAATACAAGGAACTAGACTAAGAAATCCTTTCCAGCAGGGCCAGCCCACAACATTTTGGCACCTGAGGCAGGGAGCTCAAATGATGCCCCCCATGCCCCCTCACTTGGGCCAAAACTTTGAATGGTCTCAATTCTACCTTCTTCCTGTTCTGCTCCTCTCATGGCACTCCACCATCTTCAGCATCTAGAGCAGAGAGAATATATATGCACCAGAAGCAGACACAATTTTCTATACTCTGGGTCCTAGTGGAGCCCCCGCCCCTCCTACAGTCTGGCACCTGAAGCGGCCGCCTCAGTTTTCCTCATGGTAAGGCTAGTTCTGCCTTCCAATATTATGATTCTTTAACTCCACCAATGACATAAAAATGAACTCTTGTTTGAACGAGTCAGTAGATGCAGATACTGGATTGTATTTAGCACTTTGCAAACAAGGTAGGTTGTGAGTAAAATGGTTTTCAACTTTTTTTTCCCTTCTCATTCATTTTTCAAAAGTGCTTTTTGGTTATTAATGTCCCTTCTGATCTTAGTAGCTGAAAGTTTTAATTTATAGGAACATTTTCCCCACAATATATTTAGTCCATGGAACTCCAGATTCTCCTTTCCCTAGTGAGGCTCTTGGAGAAATATAAATTAAAATTAGTTTCAGTGCATTGAATTAATTATTCCATTTATTGCTTATTATCTTGCTTTGTGGTTTTACGTGCCTCTGAACTGTAGATGGGATTAGAAAGGAAGAAGAGAGAATCAACTAATTAAACTTAGGCCTTCAAAAGAGACAAAAAGGCTTGACAGCCTGGGAAGAAAGTAGAATAAAAATTTTAAAAAATTCAGGGCATATAACACCATGGAATATATATTTAGTTTATGTATTGCAATTACACTGCAAAAAAAGTGAAATGTGTTAGCAGCAAGTCTTCTGTTTTTAAGGACCTCTAGAGATTGAAAATAAAACGTTTAAATTGGAA